AGGGATTTGCCCAAGGTCACAGAACTAGTGAGTGTCTGAAGCTGGATTTGAACTCAGGTCTTCTTCACTCAGACCTGGCATTCTATCCACTGTACCACCTAGTTACCTTACAAGAGAGGGAGGAAGGCATTTGTTTAGAGGGAGGAAAACATGCCCTAAAAAAAAGTGATGGATCTACGAAAGCATAGGGTACATGAGTATAATTGTCTGGCTAGAGAGGCAGCATTCAATCAATCAGCGGCAGAGAATGCATTAAGCACCGACTATATGTCTGACACAGTGCTAGTGTCTGAAAGTACAAATACAATGTGCCTGGAGAACAACATAAGGTAAAAATGGAAAAAAACATGTAGGTTACAGTCAGACCATGAAAGTCCTTGAATGCCAGGCTAGTTTGGACTTTGCCCTACAGGCAATACAAAGCCATAAAGGGTTTTCATCAGAGTGGTGTTTGGGTATTTTAAGATTACTTGTGCTGCAATGTGTAGGATAGCACAAAAGTATCATAGATGGGAGGCAGAGAATACGGTTAGAAGGCTGTGGGACTAATTGAGGTTTGGGTCACTTATTATAGGTCAGCTTTTTCCATTGCCATTTTCAAAAAGAAACGACCTTCGTTTCAAGTACTGTTTCCCATTTGAATGAGTAAGAGTCCTCTGGTTTATTCCATTTCAAACTTAATTCCAATTATAGCTTAAATAGAACCAATTTTAACTTCAGGGCCTGAATCACAGTTCTAACTTCCTTACAATCCCAAAGAATCCATAAAATGCCCATTCCTGCCCAATTTCAGGTGACTCATAGCAGTCATGCATTTGCCTTAAGAATCTTCACTGCAAGAAAAAAGTATTGGGCATAGAAAAGACAATATGAAATAATTGAAAAATAACTCTGAATGTGTATACACTGCCATAGCACAAAGTTGGCCAAATATCTGGCAAATTAAAAAAAAAACATAGGCAGACAAATAAATGTCACTATTTCCATAATCATGGGAGGTTTGGGCTTATGTTCTTGGGAAAATTGCCCAACATTCCACTTTACCTGCAAAGATACCACCTTAGTGCACAAAATAAGAAGTTTGAGAAAAGGATAGTCTTTTTAATACTTGACCTGAACAGGAAGAGTGATTTTTTTTTGTAATGATAAAGGTTATCTGAACATTCAACATTTGAATGCATTGTGAGAAGGGCAGCAGTTTCCACAATTCTTTTTCATGGTTTTGTGGAGATTTTTTTCAAGCAGCAAATTTTTTTTTGGCTTTGAAGTACATCATCATTAAGAGATGCCTGAGGATGTGTACCACAATATATATTCTTCTGGAAAATTCCTAATAGGCCCTTCATAACTGTCTATAGTCTTCCTACACTCTTCTGTTCCCTTATTTAGAGCTAAAAAATAATTGTAGATTGCTGGTCAGTCAATAATTAAGTGCTTTGTTAGCCTGAGAGGGAATGGGCAGAAGAAGGCACTCCATTTGAGCTGTCATCACCAAGCCATGCCATCACAGTTCCTTGAAAAGTTAACCAGCTCCGTACCCCAACAAGATCAAAGAAAGAGGAAAATGATCTACAGGTACTCCACATATATATGTATGTATGTATGCATGCATGTAGGTAGGTAAGTATATGTATATGTGTATGTGTGTATGTATATATGCATATGTATATGTATATATGTGTGTATGTATATGGATTATATGCAGTCAATATTCAACATTCCAGGGTTGAATTTTCCTGTGATTTTATTAGCAACCTCTTTCACTTTTGTGTTGGCATCCTTGCACATTGGGGGCTATGCACAGTAGAGAAAAAAAATGAGAGACCCCAAAACTGCAATTTTATTTCTATTTCTGCAGAAAAGAGGGAAGTATTTGTAAAAGTATTCATGAATCCACTCCAGAAAGTTCTAAAATCACCTCTAAGTGTGTGATGAGGGAATTGAAAAAATAAAAAACAGTTAAGTTTGTAGGTAAAGGAGATGGTGCTCACCCCCCACCCTCTCTAGCATTCGGCCTGCCCTGCTGCCCACCTTGCCAGCCTGCACAATGAGGAGCAATGTGGCCAGCCTGCATAGGGCCCTTGAAGAGCTGGGCTGGGTCAGGCCAGGCCAGGCCAGGCCATACTGCCCCCCAGGCATTAGTTCTGAGCTATGACTGGGGCCAGGGACTCACCCCAGGCCTGTGCTCTTTGATTACAGATGGCAGTTTGTCCCTTTCCCTTTTTCACATCAGGGTTCTTCTGACATCTATACCCCTGCTCAATCTGGTGTTGCCTCTACTCTCTCTTGCATTTTACAGGTTATTTCGTGGTTACTGTGTTAGGAAAAGTGCATTTTATCAGAATTAATGTTTTGTTTTGAAGAACTGTATGCAGAAAAGTGTATTCTCAGCAATCTAGCAAAAGATTAAAGTTTCTGGTGGTCTTGGAACCTAATTCCTTATTTCCCCATAGATCTATTGTATCAACAATTGCATTTTTCACTTACCTACTTTCTGGGAACATACATATGTGTGTATGTATGCATATTTGTATATGTGTGTATCTATAGCTCTATCTATTCTAAGCTCTTTTCGTAGTAACAAAGAACTGCAAACCAAAGGATTATCCATCAGTTGGGGAATGGCTGAACAAAGTGTGAAATATGTATGTAATGGAATACTATTGTGCCATTAAAAGTGATGAAAGGGACAGTTTCGTTGAAACTGGGAAGGAAGTCTTATTTAAAAAAGTGCATGTAGAGTGCAGTAAATAGAATCAGAACAATTTCCATAATACAATCCTGTAAAGACAAATATTTTTTCTCTCCCTCCTACCCTTCACCCCCAATTGAAAAAGAAAACTACGTATTATTTAAATGTGGCCAATAAAGGAATTTGTTTTGCTTGACTATTTATATTTGTTACAAGGATTTTTAAAAATTTTTTCTTTATCATTTGGAAGTAGGAGTGGGAGAAAGAGAAAATCATTTTCCCTAAAAAAAAACTAATTTAAAAACAAATAGCAGGCTCTGAGATTGCTTTAGTATTGCTAATAGTTCACTTCAGTTAGTGACCTACAGTTTACGAAGAATTTTCCTTATTACCCACTGAAATAGATAATATGACTATGAAAATGAGGTTCAGAGAAGCTATTTGGCTTCTCTATCCTCACAAAGTGAGTACACACCAGAGCTGGGACATATGAAACCGTGGGGTATATGGGGTGTTCAGGGAGGACTAGCACCTCTGGTATGAGGACCTGCAAAGCTCTTTTCAAGTCTGTTCATCTACCTTTAGCACCCACTTGTAACCTAACTCTCTCTTGTGGCTCTGAGAAGATGCAGCACGTGCACTGTCCACACCCCAGTAAAAAATGTCTTGTCAGATGGCCTAAATCAGGTTGAGGGTAATCAACAGGCCTCAAATACATCAGGACGCTTAGAGATTGGTCAGACGTAGAGGAAGCCAAGGTCATCCACTGTATCCTGGGTCATCGCCAATCATCTTGATTTTTATCCTGCCACTGGACTTCAGTGACTCTGGATGAGAGTGAGGCTGATGACTGTGCAGGTCTGCCTCACTTAAATCCAATTCATAGGCAAGTCAATATATCATCTGTAATGTCATTGATTTTCTTCAAAACAAAGGATGTTCAAAAACAACAACATAAGAAATCATATAAAACATATTTCTTCATTAGTCATGTTCCTCCCCCTCCCCCCCCAAAAAACAAGGAAAATAAAAGGAAAAGAACATGCCTCAATCTGAATTTTTGAGATCATCAGGTCTCTATCTGGAGGTAGATGGCATTCCATGAATTTTTGCTGGCTCTCCCCCATACCTGGAATTCTCCACCTTTTCATCTCTGCCTCCTGACTTCCCTGGTTTCCTTCAAATCCCAGCTAAAATTCTACCTTCTACAAGAAACCTTTCCTGATCCCCCTTAATGCTGGTGCCTTCCCTCTATTGGATATCTCCGATTCATTCTGTCTAAGTCTTGTTTGTACGTTGTTGTTTTCATATTGTTTCTCCAGTGAGTCTGTGAATTAGAGAGCAAGGACTATCTTTAATCTCTTCTTGTAGCCTCAGTTCTTAGTACATTTCCTGGCATATGATGGCTCTTAATAAATAATTATTGATTGACTGTGAGTCCCAGGGCCAACAAGACACTGCTGCTCCATTTTTTTCTTGCAAGGCTCGGAAGGGAAAGGTTACTATGGTTTTGGGCATGTAGGCTCAACAAATAGTTCTCAGTTGATTGTAACTACAAAGTCCATCAGATAAATACCTTATGGAATTCTCTGAGTCTGTTACTGAAAGCACAACTGTGCCTTGCATAACCATCAAGAGAGTGTCCACATGGACAGATAGATACACAGTCAAACAAGAATTTGCAGGAGGGTTAGGGACTAGGTTTGATTTCTTTGATGCTTCTCTTGATAATTTGTCTTCCTTTTGACTCCATAGCCTCCCATGTATTTCTCCTTGTTCTCAAAGTGCTCTCCCTTTATTATTTCAAATTTCCCTGCAAAATACACTTTTATTGGACCATTCTCATAATGGTGACAGTGACACAGAATTGTTATGAGGATCAGATGAGATGAGGTTTGCTAAGAGCTCTATTAATGTCAGCTATCATCACTTGTGACTTCTGTAATAATATTATATTTCACTCAGATCAGCATTCCAGACAGACAGAATAATTCAAGCATCAGTTGAGCCGTATCCCTGACCATGCCATAACCAGTTAGAGTCATTTCTGCATTTGGAATGGATCATTTTAAAGAGCTGCAGAGAATCAGTTGACTGTTTTGACAGCCATCCTGGTAAGGACTGTACCTCCAGTGATGACATTAGAGGATATTAGCTAGCAGTTGGTCAGGGCTATTTTGATCATCGTATAAGCCCTGAGCATTGGAGTTTTCTCAGACACAGGACTCTGCCCAGAGGTGAGTGGCATTGAGGATTCTTTCACTTTCGATCTTGTGAAATGTTATAAGTCATAAGATCATCAAGAAACCTCTAACCTTTTTGTGAATGAGGATACGTAGCTGCCTGTAGCTGCCACTTTGGACATCTCTGTGAAATAAGGAAAGACTTTTTTTAAACCAGAGAAAATATCAGGTAAGTTCCTTAGGTTTCTAAGGTGTAGGATGGTTAAAAACATTGTGTTACCATGCAAAGCGTAGCATTTAAACCCTGGTGCCAGATTTACTTGAGGTTCCTAACAAAAGACACACAAATTGCTTAAACCCAGGTTTCCCTCGAAGCCTGGACCTGAAATCTTCATCCTTCATATTTACCAGGACCTTATCACAGAGGGAAAAACCAAAGAAAACAAAGTCTCAATTCTACTCGCATAGCTCTTACTGCAACGGAGCGGAAAACCCGGTTCGGAGTGAGTCAGGTTCAAACTCAGGCTACGTTATTTACTCACTCATTGTCTGACCTGGGCGAAGTAACAAATCTCTCTGGGCCTCAGTTTCTTCAGCTGTAAAGTGAAGGATAGGACTAGTTGCCTTCTAAATTCCCTTCCAGCTCTAAATGCTGTGAGCTGGGGAGGTGGAGCACAGGGGACTGGGGCGAGTTAAAATTTGCTCTCCAGCCCAACTTAATGGGACTGCTTTTTGGCCGTGTGAGTAAATATTCAAAATAAATATTGTACAGGTTTCTGTTTTCCTACTATTTATAAGAGTTGAGGTAGCATGGAAACCTATCTTCAGGATTTCGTAAGGAGTTCAAGAGAATTTGGGATGGCAAACTGTGGACGGTTGATGTTACATGAATCCTGTAAAAACCTGAATATTCTATCCAAATTCTCTTTGTTGCTTTGCACTTATTTCGCCTTCCCTCCCTCCTGATCGTCTGGAGGTATCCTGGGATCAGCCTGTTGCATCTAAAACACTATATACCAGTGTGCAAAGTAACCTGTGAAATTTCAGATAAATCAAATATTTAGAGCTGTTAGAGAGGAATAAGTGAAAAATTAAATCTATTTGATTGTTTACTGAACTACAGCATTAAAAATTTACAGCTAAAAAAAGATGTGTTAATAAAATCTTTTATTTTTATATAAAATATTTTCCCTTTCTCGTAACAATGAAACATTATATAAGGAGATACTTCCTAATTAGTTATTTTATTAGCACCCAATCAAATCAGGAGTTTTGAAGTTAACTTTAATTTGCAGTATCTCACAAATTGTCCAAGAAAAGAAATAACCAGACTAGAGAGAAGAACATTGTATAAGAGTTCTACCTGTGAAATTTTTATGTAATAGTTGACATAAAATATGCCGGTTTTTTCATGATTGCTGCTTTGTTTTGCAAATGCTGATGGCAACTACTAGGGTCATATTACCTATTTTCCTATTTTGGTTGCTGCAAATCATGTAAAAACAAGTCCCATAAGATATTTTTGTAAAAATCAGCTTTTTTACCATGAACATCATAAACTACCTGAAAGCTACCTGTTATTTTCCCTACAGGAAGCAGAGGAAAGGCAAACCAGCAGATAACATTTTCTTCCTGCCCAATGATTTCATTTTAGAAGGCCGACCAAAAAAAAAAAAAAAGAGGGGTCTAATTTTTTAGATATTTTTTATGCTTGATCAACCCAAATTTATCACAAATGTAGCATGACCACTGGAGGGCAAAAAGATACAAAATCAGCAGCTGGGTGGTACAATGGATAGAGAGCTGGATATGGAGTCAGGAAGATGTGAGTTCAAATCCTACCTCAGACACTTATAAGCTGTGGGAACCTAGACAAGTCACTTAACATCTGTTTGTCAGTTTCTTCATTTGTGAAGTGAGGATAATAATAGCACCTGCCTCCCAGAGTTTTTGTGAGCATCGAATGAGGTCATGACTGTCAAGTGCTTAGCACAGTACCTGGCAAATAGTAGGCACTATATAAATGTTAGTTAATGTTGTTGTTGTTGTTGTTATTATTACTACTAGCTAATATCTATCTGTCTCTGTTTCCTCAATTATAAAATGATAATAACAGTCCCTACCTCCCAGGGCTGTTGTGAGGATCCAATGATTTCACATTTGTGAAGTGCTTGGCAAATCTTAAAGCTGTATATGAATGCTGTCTCTTTTGAGGCTCTGGATCTGGAGACATGAAGGCCTGAGTTCAAATCCTGCCCTAGATATTTACTGACTATGTGACTCTGGGCAAGTCACTTACCCTCCATCTGCTTCTGTTTCCTCATCTGTAAAATGGAGAAAATAATAGCATCTATCTCCCATGTGCATGTGTATGTGTATTTATATATATATATACATACATATATTATATATGCACACATATGTTATACACACACACACACACACATTTGTACTTGTTGTTCAGTTGTGTCCAACTCTCCATGACCCCATTTGGGGTTTTCTTGCCAAAGATACTGGAGTGGTTTGACATTTCCTTCTCCAGCTCATTTTGCAGATGAGGAAACTGAGACAAATAGGATTAAGTGACTTGACCAGGGTCACAGTGCTAGTAAGTATCTGAGGGCAGATTTGAACTCAGGTCTTCCTAACTCCAGGCCAGGCCACAACACAATCTAGATGCTCCATTATATAAATGCTAGCTATTTTCAATATCATCATCAATACGGATTCAGTTTAAGGCACTTGTTGATTGATTGACTGATTAATAATTTGTCTTAGTAAAATGTAGCATCACAGTCACAGAGGACTCAACAGCCAATCAGAAAATACCTGTCTGGGGGCAGCTAGGTGGCGCAGTGGGTAGAGCTCCAGCCTTGGAGTCAGAAGGACCTGAGTTCAAATCTGAGCTCAGACACATAACACTTACTAGCTGTGTGACCCTGGGCAAGTCACTTAGCCCCATTGCCTAGCCAAAAACAACAACAACAACAACAAAAAAAAAAAACCCAGAAAGTACCTGTCTGGAGAAAATTCTTCAGGTCTGATAAGCTATTCTGACATGATTCTTGAATTGGGCTTCATCTGGTCATTTTGCCTTTATGACCTGTTTCTCTGTGTTTGAGGGATTCTATAAGGCCTTGGTGGAAAAATGTAATTATTTCTGATAGCCTAATGTTTCTTGATAGTCATATTTCTTTAACAGGTTGCCGCCTAATCTGGGGGATGGGACTCAATTTCACTCAATTTCACACTGCTTGGTACTGGGAGTTGCCTTCTTTTCTATGTTGCTCTAGACATGCCACATTCATTGTAAATTCTTTAAAAGTAGGGTCCACATATTGGCCTTTTTCTAACACAGAGGATTTGGATTATTCAGGCATATAATTAAGAGGCATTTTTCAAAGTGACGTAACTATTAGGTCTTTTAGCAATAGATTTGGTTGCATTTTGGAGGTGTTTATATATTGCCTTTAGGAATGCTCTTATTTCTAGGTTAACAAGTAGCAATGTACCCTCTGGTATTACAAGGGAGAGAAACTTTCCTCCCTTTATATTAGGTTCTTTATTTAAATTAAACATTTATTAAAATTTAATTTAATTACATATGTATTCAATTAAATATTTATCAAATGTTTAATAATGAAACCACTAGGAGGTATAGTAGATTGAGTGCTGGACTTGGAGTAAAGAAGACCTGAATTCAAATCCTGCCTCAGATACTTACTAGCTGTGTGGCTCTGGCCAAGTTACTTAACTTCTGTCTACCTCAGTTTCCTCGTCTATAAAGAGAGATAATTGTAGCACCTACCTCACAGTGTTGTGCAATGATCAAATTACATAACTTAAGTAAAATGCTTTGCAAACCTTAAAGAAACACACACACACACACATAAGCATTGTAGCTAATAAATGTCTCCTTGGTATAATGTACTTCTGCTAAGTGCTAAGGATACAAAGTTCAAAAAGTGGCAGTCCCTGCTCTACTGGAGCTTAAAATTTAAAAAAGGAAATAAACTACATACACAAATAAGTATGATGCCAGGCAAAGTGTGATAAATGCAAAGAGGCCTAAACAAAGTATTATAAAAATCTGAGTTAGAAATCACTTTCATCTGGGAGGATCAAGGAAGGCTTTATGGGAACGGTAACCCTTTAATTAGATCATATTGGCAGCTACCTGATAGAGCACTGGGCTTGAAGTCAGGAACACTCATCTTCATGAGTTCAAATTCTGCCTCCAACATTTACTAGCTGTGTGACCCTGGGCAAATCACCTAACTCCGTTTACCTCCCTTTGTCATCTATCAAATGAGCTGGAGAAGGAAAGGGCAAACTGTTCTGGCATCTTTGCAAGAAAACCCCAAATAGGGGTTTTGAAGAAAGAGAAGAATTTTCTCAGATGTTATTGTGGAGGAATAGATTTCAAGTATGAGGGATAGGACAGAAGCAGGAAATGACAGATTAGCATTGAAGGGAAAGTGACTAATATACTTTGACCATCTGCCCCCTTGACAACCATCTTTTTGTCCTGGAGAAGCTTCCTCCTGGGGCCCTCATCTCCCAATTAGTGACTGTCCCTCCTGGACCACTATTTCAGGAAGGCCCTGGCCACCATGCTTCACTTTACTCACTATTCTCCTATCTCCTTGCCAACCCACACAACCTTTTGTCTTCCTCTTTCCCCATCAGTTCGAGACTCATAAACTATTATCAGACGGACTCTACCATTGTTCCTGGATGGGTTGTGTCAGTCTACTCTCTCTCTGAACCTTATCACCATCTTTGTAAATTTCCAGACAAAATGCCACTCCCTGGCCATCTCTCCCCTTTCTATATTATTACCCTGGTTAAAATGTAAGCTCTTTGAGGTCAGAAACTTTCTTTGCTTTTATATTTTTATCTAAGGCATTTAGTACAGGGTTTGGCACATATTAAGAGATGGATAAATGCTCCTCCCAACCCCAACCTGAAGTCAGGAAGATTCATTTTCCTGAATTCAAATTTGTCCTCAGACATTTACTAGCTGTGTGACCCTGGGTAAGTCACTTAACCCTGTTTGCCTCAGTTTCTCATCTATAAAATAAGCTGGAGAAGGAAATGACAAACCACTCCAATGGTCTCTGCCAAGAAAACTCCAAATGGGGTCACAAAGAGTGGGACATGCCTGAAACAACTGAACAACAACAAAAATTCTTTTGTCATTCATTTATATAGAGTTCAAGGAAGGAGATAGGATGAAAGTAGGCTAGACAGATAAATTGGAATCAGATTATGGAGGACCCGTATGTTAGGCCAAGGAGTTTCTATTTCATCCTTAAGGCAATGAGGAGTCACTGGGTTTTTGAAGCCATGGACCCTAAATGTTACCTGAAACTAACTTCAACCAGAATGAATGAAACACAAACAAATGACATTAAAGTTATATGTGGAGTCAATTAAGAGAGGTAGCATGTTATAGTAAGGAAGAAAACAGGAAGCCTTGGGGCCAAAAAGACCTGAGTTCAAGTCCCACCTATGATACATATTGGCTGTGTGATCCTGGGAAAGTAACTTACCCTTTTAGTGTTCTAGGCAACAATCTAAGACTATAATTTGCAGAGAAAGTGGTGAGTTTCATTCTTCATCTAGAAGTTACCTATATCAACGAAATCACAGGTTTAATCTCTATATCTGTGAAGTCAACCAATAAGAATCTATTAAATACTAACTACGTACTAGGCACAGGACCAAACACTGTACAAAGAGAAGAAATAAGCACTCTATCATCTAGGAGATAATATTCTAATAAACGCTACCTTTTTTTTTTTTTTTGGTCTAGGAAATGGGGTTAAGTGACTTGCTCAGGGTCACACAGCTAGTGAGTATTCTGTATCTGAGGCTGGATTTGAACTCAAGTCCTCCTAACTCCAAGGCCAGTGCTCTATCCACTGTGCCACCTAGCTGCCCCCCCCCCTTTTTGCATCCAATAAACTAGAAAAAACAAACCGATCAAGTTACAGAAAAATAGTATCTGACACTTACATAATGCTTTAAGATTTACAAAGGACTTTTTATACATTATCTCAATTAAGCTTCACAATGGCACTGGGAGATAGTTACTACAGGCGTCATTATTCTTATTTTGCAAATGAAGAAACTGATATTGAGAGAGATAATAGTAGGTGGTGGAATTTGAACCCAGGTCTTCCTCCCATGCATTCTATCCACAGGGCCATACTCCCTCTACAAACTATCACTCATTCTCTATAACCGTCTTTTGTTGGAAAATCTATTTTGTAGAAAAGATGGAAATAACTGAACCAAATGGCACAAATATTGGGAAGCTGATGAGGCAAAATCCAATTCTGTGACACATGATGACAAACTTTAAGTTTTAGACTGATTGTGCTTTAGATTTAGATTGTGTTTTAGATTAATTGTGATATCTGTAAGCACAATGAGAAATTATCTCAAGGATGTCCTTGCCTACACTGGACCAGGGTAAGAATTCTAAGTGCAAATGATGCAGAAGCTCATATTGTTTCAATCATAACTCTTATCAGATCATAAGATCATCAGATATCACCTAGTCTAACCCCGTCATTTTGCTGATGGGTAAACTGAGTCATTATTTCATATAGAAAAGGGAATTGAGTGCTCATATATTCCCAACCCCTTCTTTATAATATGGAGTAATGTGAATTGGGTTGCCTGTTAATATTGGTATAATGGAAAATGTGCTGAATTTGTTGTGAGATTTGAATTCCAACTCTACTACTTACTAATTATATCGTATAGGTAATTTCTATGGGCTTCAGTTTACTCATCTTTAAAATGAGGGTATTGGATTAGGTCTCTAAGGTCCCTCTTGGCTCTAAATTCTATGATCTTACCTCTGCCAAATAGAATGAGTCAGTTCTCATTGTGCCTAGGCCCTAGGCTGAGTGGTAAGTGAAATGCTCCAGAGGGTGCTAACCTTTGCTTCTACCTCCCTAATTTGCACAAAATGTGGATTCAGCAACCCACACAGTTGTACTTGGGGTCATCCAAGCTCGTGTTTACAAAAGAATCAAAAAAGGGGGAAAAAAAAGCATAAAAGTTTTGCAAGGCTTATAGTTTATCCCATGAAGTTCAGAGGATCAGTAATTTTTGCCACCTCTGACAATACCTATTGGACTGGATGGGTCAGAGCAAAAGTCCTAGAACTAGTGGACATGGTATATGTAGGCCTTAGGTGAGAATGTCCTGCTCTGAGAGCTTCAAAAATATAGTAGTGACTGTGTATGTGTTATCTTCCCTAAAGGAGATTCATTAGCAGCCTCCCAGGATCACATTTAGTTCTGTAACTGTGAGAATGAATGAATGAAAATGGATTTATTAAGTACTTAGTATGTGCAAAGCAGTGTGCTAAGTAGGGATACAATTAAAAAAGTAAGACAGTCCATTCTCAACCAGCTCGCATTTTAAAGGGGCAGACAACATATATTGAAAGTCTCAATTGCAAGTAAGATAGAAAGGTATCTAAATGGTGCAGTGGATAGATTACTGGGCCTAGAGACTGGAAGACCTCAGTTCAAATCTGACCATAGACACTTGCTAGCTGTGTGACCCTGGACAAGTCACTTAACCTTGTTTGCCTCAGTTTCCTCTTCTATGAAATGAAGATGATAATAATAAGACACCTACCTCCCAGAATTGTTACGAGGATCAAATGAGATAATAATTGTAAAGTGTTTAGCCCAGTGTCGGACGCATAGTGTTTTAGAAATGTAATCATTATTATTATTTAACCACTCTGTCCTTCAAATTCTTCATGTGTAAAATGGGGAAAATATTTCCAGTGCTTTCTATAGTTCTTGGCACATAGTAGTTACTTAATAAACGCTAATTGACTGACTATTGTTCACTGTATTATGTTATCCAATGTCAGGAGGTGAATGTTCCTGGAGTATGGACCAGAACATCTTATTGTACTCTACCCTGCTGAGTGTCCTGATTGGTGGGAGCCAGGCCTGTTACTGTGACCACTACGCATGGACTCCATGGTCCAGCTGTTCAAGTTCTTGCAATTATGGAACCCAAAGGAGAGAGAGGTGGGTGTGACTATTTAACTCCTTCTTCTTCCTTTGGGAGTCTGTGAATATTGAAGCCAATAATCAGAAATTTCATTGAATGACAAGGAAAGTGGGGAGGGTAAGGCACCCACAAAATGAATACTCACCATAAAAGTTCATTTGTTGATTCAATTCAATTCAATTCAATTCAATATTTATTAAAAACCTATTCTGCGAAAGGCACTGGGCTAGGCCCTAGGGATGATTAACTTTACCATTTTGCTACCCCTAAAAAAGTTTCCCAAGAAAATTAAATTCTTCTTCTTCTTCCTTCTTTCTTCTTTTTTCTTCCTCCTTCTCCTCATCATCGTCATTATTATTATTATTATTAGATGAGACTTTTGAGATTATCTAATCCAATTATTTAATTTTACAAATGAAGAAAATGAGGTCAATAGAGATTAAATGATTTTCCCTAGGTCACATAACAAACTGGTGACAGTGAAAAGCTAAGATAATGGCTCTCCTAATTATCTTGGGGTAGTGGTCTTTGGTTTACAGCCTTGAAGTGCCCAGAACTTTATTATTTAATAGCTCTTACAGTCCTGAGTATTTTAACCTATTTCCTATTTAAGTCATTTACCAGTAATAACTTAAGAATTTTGTAGCTGTAAGATCCCAAATTGTGTCCTAATGGTCTGAAATGTTGGAAGCCTCATTGTCTAAGCCCTCAGTTACTTGCATTTCCAATCACACAGTGAGGCAGATAAGCAGACAACAGTTCACCAACTTGGAAGCAGCTCTCCAGAGCAGTGTAGAAGAGTGGTCCCAAACTTGAGATGAATAGAAATGAGCTCTTAGTCACCAGCAAGAGATTTAATCTGTCTGAATCCCAGTTCCCTCCTCCCACCTATACATTAGAAATACTAGCCTTCCCGCCTTATTGGGCTGTGCTGAGAATCCAGGCATTATAATATCTTCCATGCCTGTTTCTAAACAGTATCTTTATGAGAACTCTCCTCCCTCTTATTTCTCAAGTGAATTCCTACCTACTCTTTAAACCCATCAAGTGTAGTTTTGATCATATGATCCCCTTACTCAGTCAATTGTTTGCTTGTTTCTTCAGTTGTTTCAGTCATGAAATGATCCCATTTAGAGTTTTCTTGGCAAAGATACTAGAGTGGTTTGCCATTTTCTTCTCCAGCTCATTTTACAGATGAGGAAACTGACACAAACAGGGTTAAGTGACTTGCTCAGGGTCACACAGCTAGTAAGTGTCTGAGGCTGGATTTGAACTCAGGAAAAGAGTCTTCCTGGTTTCAAGCCCAATGCTCTACCCACTGTACTACCTAGTTGCCATCAATAGATTCTAATAGTTTCCTATTACCTGTAAGATTAAATATAAACTTCTCTGCTTGACATTCATACATATTCACAATCTGACCTCTTCTTACCTTTCACTGCCCTCCATGTTCTCTGTCATTTAGCCACAATGGTCTATTTGCTGTTCTTATTGATTCTCCATCTCCCATCTCCCATCTCCATTCCTTTGCACTAGCTGTCCCCTGTGCCCAGAATACTCTCCCTTTTCAACTCCCATCCTCCTAGAATTCTTGATTTCCTTCACAACTCAGGTCAAGTGCAACTTTCTGCAGAAATATCCTACAACGGTTACCTTGGATCTTATTTGTCAGGGGACAGTGATAAGGCACTCAGCCTGGAGTCAGGAAGACTTGAATTCATATCCAGCCTCAGACACTTACTAGCTATATGACCTTGGGCAAGTGATTTAACATTTGTTTGCCTCAGTTTCCTCAACTGTAAAATGGAGATAGAAATAGCACCCATCTTCCAGGGTTGTTATGAGAATCAAATGAAACAATGTTCATAGAGCACTTAGCCATAATAAGTACTACAGAAATGCTAATTATTATTTTAGATGTATCATATATATACTTATAGAAGTACATATTGTCCACTTGATTAGAATGTAAATTCATTGAGAAAAGACACTTTTGATTTTGTTGTATCTCTAGATTTTAACATAATGCCTGACCTTTAGTAGGCATTTAACAAATCTTTGTTGCTTGCTTGCCAGATACCCCACATTGTCTGTACCTCTCTTATTTATAACATATATTAACTAATATTAGTGAATTATTGCTATATTTATGTCTTATCCTCTTAAATAGTAAGCTCCATGAGGGCAGAAACCATGAATTATCTTAGACTTTGTCTCTTTGCCAGTAACTGGAATAGAGCTCCATTATTAATCCTGTGAGATTAATGATTCAGGCATTATTATCCTTGCTTTACCAATGAGATAATGAAAATTGAAATACCAAAAAGATATTGAGATATGAGAAAAGTTAAATGACCTTTCCATGATTGCATAATTAGTAAGTGGCAGAGTCAAGATGCAAATCCAGGTCTTCTGATTCCAAATGAATATTGGTTCCCTAACACCTGTAGATGAGAGAATTTTGGGAAATGACAAGACTTGAACCAATGGAAAGTATAAGTATTAGATTCAGGCAGATTAGTGCCTTTAATCCCCCTTTCCTATGTAAGGAAACTGAGACATAGCTCAAGGAAGACCACATCCTCCTGCCTAAGGTCACACAGTAATTCCTCAGGAAACTGGAATTCATAAACTTCTGTCCATTAACACTCAAATGTCATTCTCTTGGCATGTGGTACCCACAGGTCTTTCACAACCTAAGAAGACACCATAACTTTCCACTCCATTTGTTCTATCATTTTCCTCTTAACTCCTCTATAGAACTGTCATTGTTTAAGTAGATGGCCATGGGACCCATTCTCTTATTCTACCTCCCACTCTCCTCCTCCATATACTTCCCTTTTTTCCTAACAGCAATGTGACTTGATTGTCATCTCCTCCGAGAGATTGTTGTTTGTGTTGTTCATCCTTCGTTCTTGAAGAGGACCAGTGATTTCAGGAGGGTGATGTCTTGACTTGTAAGTGAACTGGATTTGAGTGAGACAGAGCTTTGCCAAATCATTTGCCTCACTCTCTCCTCCAGTTCCATCTCAGTCCAGTGGCAAGACATAGACCAGGATGACTGGTGATGGCCCCGGATGCAGTGGGACCCTTGGCCTTTTTAAGCTAAGGTCTTTCCCAGGTTTCAGTTTGTCTGAGGCCACACCCATTCAATGATTAAAGGCTAGGTGAAAATGAAGGCAAAAAATGGGCTAGTTTGCCTTCACAAAAGAATCAGTCTGGGAGGGGAAGACCCTCAGGATTTCAGGCTACAACAGAAATAATTGCTATTTACACTCATTCTGAGCTATCAAAACCCAAACAATGAGCAAGTGAGGCTTGAGCTGGGACCTGTTATTGGCCAAGTAGTGAGAGCCAGAGTGATTTGGGTTTAAAGGCATAGTCAAGTAGCTCCATTTGAATCTTAATGGACTTTATTAAAGCCTGGTTTTTCAGAGCTGTATTTCAAGAAATTATAAATGAAAACTACATGAGACAAAAGAGTTAATTGTTATTTTTTTTTCATTTCACTTATGATTTCCAAGAGATAGTGCCCCAGTGAATGGACTCAGCCTAAATAGAGTTATTATTGTTGTTTTCCTGGTTGCAGACAAATAGTACAAGATAAATATTACAAAGAAAACTACTGTGATAGGCTGTGTTCAAAGCAGGAATCCAGGGCCTGCAACGAGCAAATGTGTCCCATCAACTGCCTGCTGAGTGACTTTGGACCATGGTCTGAATGTGACCCTTGTGTTAAAAAACAGGTATGTAAAGATGGTGTAGTAAAGGTGACTCTCCCTTGCTGAAGGAAGCTGAGTCACGAAGAATTGATTCATTGAGACAACAAATGAGTTAAAAAGGAACACAGGATAATAGACTTCAAGCTGGAAATGATCTTAGAGGTCATTGAATCTAACCCCTTAATGTTATAGATGTTCTCTGAGGCCCAGAGAAATTAGGGGAATTGCTTACATTTGAAATGTAAAGATTTAGATAGTTAAAATAGTAAATGTAGGAAAATCTGTTATGCTTTTATGAACTAAAAGAAAAAGGATAGCCATCATGGTTTCAGACAAGGCAACAGAAAATACAGATAAAAGAGATAAACAAGGAAATTACAATATGCTTAAAGGTACCATAATAAATCAAGCAGTTCTTAGGGAAAGGTAATATCTCTAGATATCAACAAAAGGAAGAATGAGCAGAATAATGAACTGGGCATTCAACAATGACAAAAACTAGAAAAGTAACAAATCAAAACCCCAAATACAAAATGAGATATTATGAAAATTAATGAAAAATCGAAAAGAAAAAGGCTCCTATATTGAATAGATTAATAAAACTATGAACTATTTTAACTAATAAAATAAACAATGAATCTGATTTAAAAAGAGAAAGTAAAACCAAATTGTTTTAAAAATTATAAAAGAGAATTCACAGCAATTGAAGATAAAAAAAGGAAATTACCAGAAACAATTTTGGCCAATTGTATACTGAAAAAACTGAAAATTTAGGGGAAATGGATAAATATTTACAAAAATATAAAATTCAGATTAGCAGAATAAGAAATATGTTATTTAAATTTTAAGCTAATGTTAAAAAAAATAATTAAACAAACCACAAATGAACTCCCAAAGGGGGCAAAACTCAGAACTAGGTCAATTTACAAGAAAATTCTATCAAACATTCAAAGAACAATTAACTCCAATAATATGTAGAGTTTATAGAAATAAAAAAGAAGGAATCATTCCACACTCCCTCTATAACACAAATATAGTCTTGATGCTTAAATCACAGGAGACAAAGCAGAGAAAAAAACCATAGACCAATGTCCCTAATGAATAGCAACACAAAAAATATTTAAATTAAATATTAGTAAAGAGGCTATAATAACATATTAAAATATTCTAGACTCTAACCATGTTGTACTTACAAAAGTAATACAGGATTAGTTCAATATAAGGAAAATTATAAGCATAATAGAACATATTAATGACAAAAATTATAACCACATGATTATATCAATAGCTGCTGAAAAAGCTTTTAACAAAGTCCAATATCCTTACATCTTAAATAACAACAGCATTAGGTAGTACAATAATAAATGGATCATATGGTCATTATTAGTATCTACTTAAAACCCAGAGACAATATTTTGTTTCATAAACAAAGGCTAGAAACCTTTCCAATAAGATCAGGGACATGGCAAAGATATCTATTATCACCACCTTTATTTGCCAAAGTTCAGGAAATTATTTGATCTCTCAGTGTCCCTATTACCCTCCACCCCAGTCTAGGACTATAAGCTGGTGAGAGAGAGAGAGAGACAGAAAGAGAGACAGAGACAAAGAGAGAGAGCATTTATTGATTGCTTATTATGTATCAGACACTGTGATAAATACTAGGGATACAAATATAAGAGACGATCTCTGCCCTCAAAGAGCTCATGTTCTAATGGGGAAAGACCACAAACACATTAAGAGGTGCTAAAAAGGGGGTTGGGAGAGAAGAAAAAATTCTGCACAGAGCCTAATGAAGAGATTGCGATGTGTTTCACAGAATCCTGGGTCCTGGAAAGATAAGGGAAAATGCTTACCTATCAGAGCAGGATTAGCCAGTGGAAAAAGTCAAGTTTCTGGAGGGATAGAGAAGGTCTGAATGTAGGTAGGTGTTAGAGGAGATGATTCGGTGGAAGAATTCCCCATACAGATGAAATCACAAATCTAGTACCAAAAGAGAAGCAGAAAAGAATGGGGGACTCTGGCTATTGATGCCCAAACCAAATAACTCTGCAAATTATTTTCCTTATGACTACCCTGTGAAGTAGGTAGAACAACCATTATTAACTTCCTTTTACAAATAAAGCCTATGAAGCATAAGGAGTACAACTGACTGTTAGTAAAGGGAAAAATAATTTGAACCCACATCTCCTGACATCAAGACTAACGTTCTTTCTATCAAACCATACTGTACTTTCTTATTAGATATTTTAAACCTCTAATCTCCTTATTATTAGAGAGGGAGCTAAGTGGCCCAGTGGATAGAGTATTGGACCTAGAGTCAGGAGGACTTAAATATCTAGCCTCAGACATTTACTATTTGTATGACCCTGAGGGAGTCACTTAACCTCTGTCTGTTTCAGTTTCATCAACTGTAGATTGAGGATGATAATAACAGCACCTACTTATAGAGTTGTTATGAGGATCAAATGAGATAATTATTACAAAGCACTTAGCACAGTGATTGGCACATAGAGGGCACTATATAATTGCTAGCTATTGTTATTACTATTACACATATTCTGGTCACACTTCTGGTTTCAGGTTTTTTTAGGAGATGAGAGAAGCAAAACAAAGGAAGGAACCAGTGTGTGACAGGGGCTGAAACTGAGCTGAGATAGGAACAAGAAAACTGATGACCAGTTTTCCTTCCATACTAGAAAGTCACTCAGCTTGTTTGCATTTCAAGATTTTAAAATTTGTTGGCCTGAAAGCTTACTTGAGCTAGGTCATTGATCTTAATGGACCTTGACTAAATTGGGTATTAGAGCAAACACATCCCAGAATTGTGTAGTTGCTCCTTCACTTTTTTTTAAAATTACTTTCCAGTTGGCAATATGACATGTGAGGAGAGCACTTACATGGTTTTTCTCCTCTGCCATTCTCCCACAGAACTATGAAGTCTTTTTTTCATATTTATAACCTCATGGTATTCACAAGATAGAGAAAAGCTAGTATTATCTTGCATAATACTTTACATAGTTAGAGGACTCAATAAACATTTATAATTTGTTCTTATGTAGAATCAAAAAACTTTAGAGCTGAAATGGATCTTAGAGATACAATTCTTTCATTTTGTACATGAGTAAACTGAGGCACTAAGATGTTTGACGACTTGCTCCAGGTAACACAGCTAGTTAGTGGTAGAGAATGGAATCACCATTTGCTAGGCAGGAAGGGATCTAAGAGTTCACTTAATCTTACTCCCTTATTTTGTAGATGAGGAAAATGAGCAACAGAGAGGGCAAGTGACTTATCTACAGTCATACAGTTAGCAGGCAGCAGATCTGAGAGAGGAACCCAGGCTTTCTGACTTCACGTTCAAGGCTTTTCTTTTCCCCTTCATTGCCTTTCTGTGGATACTGTCTCCATGGAAGCCATGAAATCATAACAGGCATGAAGTAAAGACAATCCCAGTAGTTATCCAAAGGACTCAGGTCTCCCAGCTCTTATTTCATTATGCTTTCCTCATTACCATTTTAACTGATGGAGAAACTAAGTCACATTGAGAAAATGGTTTTCTCGAAGCCCTACAAAGTCACTGACCTGATCAGGATCAAGAGCCCAAGCCTCTGGACTAATAAATACAAGAATCCTTCGGGATCATACTGTCCCAGTAAGCAAGTAACACAGTATTTTGGGGTTTGGGCAGCAATAGACAGTCTCCCATTCTCCTCTGCTTCCCTTTCAGTTTCGAGTGAGATCCCTCTTGCGTCCCTCACAGTTTGGGGGGCAGCCATGTACGGAGCAGCTGGTGGAATCCCAAAGATGTTATCCAACAAAATTGTGCAACATAGAAGACATTGATTGCAAGAACAAATTCAAGTGCGACAGTGGTAATGTACTTTTCTCCTGGGTGTCATCTGTAGCTTGGAGACGCAGATCTAGTAAAAATCATTCCAGTTTACTTCCTGTAAATGTCATCAGTCAGCAGTCTTCACCACATTTGAAAAAAATTTTTAAAAACAACAACAGAAAACATCCCCATAGCAATATTCTACTGATTATCAAGGTGTTCATGTGTTAAATGGAAGCTTTCAGGTTATAATCATTTTGCTTATGCTTCCTGATTCTTCTACTAATCACATTTCAGGGCCAAATCGCTTCTTGTGATATTGCCCAATGAGGCAGACCCGAGAGAAAGGAGGAAGAGGAAGACAAGATTGATATAAAAAAAGGGCTCCTATTTATAGGCTTACATCTGGGTAATCAGAAATTAGGAGATAGATGGGAGAAAAATCATCAGATTAATAAAGTTGTTTGAAAAGTTTGTTGTTTAAAAATTCAAGCACATGGGGATGCTAACTATGAGGTGTTCTAGAAAGCAACGTGACTGATTTTCTTGCATGGATGATAAACTGACCATGAAGGCAATTAGAAAATAAACAGTCTATAAATGGCTTGTGCATTGGACATGTCATTGGAATAAATAAATGACTTCCCAAGGTGATTACTTTGAAGAAAAACATTTATTTGATGCATAGATTCTGTTTGTTTTTTGATGGGGAAAGTGGGTCTGAAACTGATTTCACTGGTTTAGAAAATACTTAATGTAGAAACTCCCTTTACAGATGCAGATCTATAATTTCTCTGTAATTTATAATTCTACCAAGTCCCCTGGGGCCTTGACAGGTTAATTAACTTGCCCATGATCACACACCTGGTATCAGTCAGCGGCACAATAGATGGTGCTGGGCCTGGGCTTATGAAGATCTGAGTTAAAATCTGATGTCAGACACTCACTTAATAACTGTATGATCCTGGGGAAATCACTTACTATCTCCTTCCTTTCTCAAAATCCTCCACACCAAGTTCTGGTATGTTGTTTTGAAAAGAGTTTCATTATATGTTACTTAATCATACAACTCTTTCTCTAGGGGATAATTCTAAAATAGTAATCAATTTAATATATCCCTTTAGTAATTTTAAGTTTATGAAGGATCTCAGGCTGGTAAAATTTATTTCCTTTCTGGACCTTAAGGGAAACCATTAAAGAGTAAAAGTTAAACTGTGACTATCATCCACTCAACCCCAACCTACTAAAAAATTTTTTTTGTTTAGAATAGAGTTGTGGCTTTGATTATCAGAATAAATATTCTAAGTCACTTACCCACCATCTTCTCCATTCCTTGCTTGACAAGTTTTGCCAGTCTTTGCAGCTGTTTTATTCTGTAATCACAAAATTAAGGTCTTGGACCTGAGATTTGAGATTTAGGGATAGCTATAACTATATCAATATTGAAATAGTTATCAATCTATCTATAGAGAGAGATTTGGGGATAGATATGTATATGTACACATATGCATGTGTATTTATGTGTGCATGTACCCATGTCAATAGAGAGAGGGACAGTAGAATATATATTCTCTTCTGCCTTTCTTCCAAAGAACTATAAAGTCTTTTTTTTTGCAAGATAGGCAAAGGCTAGTGTTATCTCGCATAATGCTTTACTTTTTTGGTGGGCTCAATAAATATTTATGATTGGTTCTGATATAAAATCAAAGGACTTTACATATATGTATACATATATACACATACATATAGATAGACACATGTGTACATACATGCACATGCACACACACATGCACACACACACATCCAGTGTCTGTAGAGGTAAAGTTAAATCATATATGACCGAAAGGTTTGGCTGTTGTGCTGCACTTTAGACCATCATAACATCCTTAGAGTATTTATGTTCTTAATAAGAATCTTATGCCAAACCATAGTACAGAACTAAAACTAGGTTAGAGAAATTAGGGGTTTTGTCCCACGGCATTGAAATTTAGAGGTAGAAATAACTGACTACTTAAAAAGAACAATTACTTAAAGTAGGAAGCTTCTAGATGTGCACCCCCACCCCATAAAAAATTCTGGATGACAGTAGCCTGCGTGACTTCCTCATCAGGTCAACTTTGTCCTTCAATAGTTTCCCCACCAGTGGCCTTATGGTATCCCAGGGTCTCCACCCACAGAGTTTAATGTCCCATAATCCAAGACTGTAGAACATAGATTTAGAGCTAGAAGGGACCTTAAAGGTTATTGAGTCCAACATCTTCATTTTATAGATGGGGAAACTAAGGTTCATAAAAGTTAAGTGATTTTTCCAGGGTCCACTGCTAGTAAGTATCTAAGGCAAGATTTAAACTCAAATCTCCCTTAACTCCATGCCTATTTATCTGCCTGAAGATCTATTCCCGTCTGTCCTCTCCAGCTCCTACCCCCTTGCTAAACTGGTTTTGTCTTAAAAAGCTGAGTTGAGGTCACTCCTTTTCTTGCCTGCCCCAGCATTTATTTTTCCCCAGTCTGGTTACCAGAATTGCCTGAGGCTCTGACATAGCCCAGTCACAGCTGGATTACTGTGGGCATTTACGACTAAGGCACTCTGGTGAAAAGAAAGATACTAAAAAATGAGCCAATTTAAATGAAGAAAAGTTTGGGGCCATGTGTAAGCTTAGAGCTGGGGTGGGGAAACTGTGGCCTTCTAGGTCCTTGGGTGAGGCTTGTTGACTGAGTCCAAGTTTTACAGAACAAATCCTTTTATTAAGGTGATTTGTTCTGTGAAGTTTGGATTTAGTCAAAGGGCCACACTTGAGAGCCTACAGGGCCACATGTGGCCTCAAGGCCGCAGGTTCCCCACCCCTGGCATAGAGTAAATGTGTAAGATACATTCACTTCATTCTGGAAAAGTGAAGAATGAAAGAAATTTTCCTAAAGTCTATGAAATCCATGAAAGGGAAGGAATGATAACAAGGATATAGAAAAAGAAACTGATCACTTAATCTTGGAATAGTAGAAACAGAAAGCGGTTTTTGAAGCTTAAAAAGGAGATTGTTTTAGGACAAATTAACAAGGAAGTTTGAGGCAACCTGGCATAGTGGATACAGAGCTGTCCAGGAGTCAGGAAGACCCGGACTCAAGTCCCTCCCCGGTACAAACCGGCCCTCTGACCATTGGCTAGTCATTTAACCCCTTAGTCTATCTAGGCAACTCAGTGATACTCTAAGTTATAGAGCAAGTGACATTCAGCATGGCTATTGGGAGTTTCCTTACCCAGAGTTCCTTATATCAATGAAATCACAGATCCAGTTAAAAAAAAGCCAAAAAAGTTTTTCTTGACACAGCAAATAATAAACAAATCAAATATATCATCATTAGAAGCAGCTAGGTGGTACAGTGGAGAGAGCACTGGGCTTGGAATCAGGAAGCCCTGAGTTCAAATCTCACCTCAGACATTTACTAGCTGTGTCACTCTGGGCAAGTCATTTAACCTCTCTCTTCCTCAGTTCCCTCAACTGTAAAATGAGGATAATATAGGACTTACCTCCCAGGGCTGTTGTGAGTATTAAATGTGATATTTGTAAAGCACTTAGCACAGTACCTGGCACATAGTAGGTGCTTAATAAATTCTTTCTCCTCCATCATTTATTTAGACCAATAATATAAACAGGTTCATGAAAGTTTTAACATACGTTCATTGACAAACCTATAGTGAAATAGTATAAGAAAGTTAGGCATGTTACAACTGTATCACCCAGTTTCTTCATGTGAATTCTTAAAGGGGGTATCTGTAAAATGGGTATTACAATAACACCTACCTCCCAAGGTGGCTGTGAGGACCAAATAGAATGATCACTGCAAAGTACTTAGCACGGTTCCTGGCACAAAGTATGCTCTATATAAATGTTAATTATCAGCTATTATGAAATATTATCTTCATTTTGTAAATGGGTAAAGTCAAGTCTAGAGAATTGAAGAGGCTTGCTTATAGTCACAGAGTTAGTAAGTGCTAGAGCTGGGATAGTAACCTAAGTCTCAGGATGCCAAAGCCAGTGCGGTTTGTGCTAAACTTCATCTATATTGTGATAGAATCACAATCGTATTCTTTTTTTCTTTCTAAAAGAGTTAATGGCAGGGTTATATACCAAATAGTCAGGAACCATAAGTTAAAACTTAAATAAAAAAGTCTTTCAATTTTTTAGATATCTAACTTCTACATAAAAATATTTTTCTTTTTTTCTGCCGTGGTATGTGTGTGTGTGTATGTGTGTATAGAGAAAATGCACTTATGTGTATACATATACATATATACACATACATATCTTCACTCTTAATTATAACTGTCTTGGGTTGGGGAGAGGGAAAAAGAACAAAGCAAAAAGTGCACAGCAGAGAATAAAAGAAAACTTACAAGGAAGCAAAAAAAAGATGGACAGCTCAGAACATAATGCATAGTATTTCTTGAAATGGAAATTTATTGCTATATATTTTGAATCCTCTCTTACATTCTGCTGTGCACATGGCAACACTTTTTCTTATTTTGTATTTAAGTTTATATGTTTCTTTTTCTTCTCTTGTCTATTTAAATTTTACTATATAAGTTTAAAATAAATTATTTAAAAAAAGAAAAACAATATGCTCTTGACCTGAGATTTCCTAGCTATAGGGAACTCCTTATGGTGAAATTCCCTTAACTTCGGCAGACCAGCATCTCATTTAAAATTTATAGCTTTATAGATGAAGCCATTACTAGAGCAGAATGGCTGAGGCCTTGAACCAGGAGCCTGCATCTGAGGGGAAAGGGAGAGACAGCTGCCTTCTTTCCACTAGAATTATAGCTGCAGGTGGAATATCTCTCTCCTGGCAGCCTTCCTTTCCACTTACAATCCTAGCACAGTGACAGACCAAATTCTTTGGAAGAACACTTCATCTACCCTCACATGAATTTGTCTCAAGTGCTGGGGCCCATATATACTCTGCTTAGATAATTGCCTTTATACTGAGAAATTAAGTGACTTGCCCATGGCCATAATTGTATTTGTCAGAAACAAAATTTAAACCCACATCTTCCAGAACCCAAGGCCAGTCCCCTATTTACTATGCCATGCTGACTATTCATATGTATCTTTTCCCAAAACAACAGGAATTTTGTTGTTTAAAAGCAAAATGAAAATTTTTTTAGTATGTCTTGAGATCTATATAAATCACCATTATAAGCTTTATGTGTATAGTCCTATAAAATGAAAATTAATCTTTAAATAATAGTAATACCTTAAAAGAGTTTGAGTCATCCAAGAAAGCCTTACTACACTGTCTTTACTGTGGTTGGGGATGAACACTAGAAAGCTGTAGAACAAGAATTGAAATATGCTTTCTGGAAAATTCTCAGTTAACAAAGACCGTTTCATTATAATTGTCTAATTATTGCAGTTAATGAAGATATTATTACATATTCCTTGTAAAAAGATCATTTCCATTATTTGAATGATTAGTCAGTTCTACTGATGAAGTCAAATATTTTAAATGTTTTTCTATGACACATGAATTTCCCAGCGTTTCATGGCCTTGTTTTTGTGGCTAACATAAAACTGTTTACTATTAATAGTCATCAGTTCTAAGAAGTGACAACCTCTGCTCACCTTGCCTGATATTCAGTAATTTAGGCATTTTTCAATAATTTAAATGTCTACCTACAATTGTCTCTGCCAATAGTCTCTCAGTATTACTTTTCTAGTGGTCATAAATAAGCTCTTAATCTCCCATTGTCCTATGAAAAAACAGAATAATTCAATGAGTTTGGTTCTGTCATACAGGAACATAATACAGTAGACTGTATGTGTTTCATCCCTCTGACAAGGTAATTTTTGTTCTATTGTTCAGTACAGTCAGAAGATTCTAAGATTTGTTTCCCTTTCTAACAAAGCAAAATAAATATTTGGATTGGTGCTTCAGATGTCTATTGGCCTCTTAGGAAAAAGGAGAAAAATCAGTTTATCTTTTATCACCCCATTTTTAGAAATTCTTTTATCTGTTTTCAAGCTAGTAGAATATTCCCTATACTTTGCCTTGAAACCAAGGGCATTTGTGGCCCAAATTTACATAACAAACCTTTAAAAAAAATTTTAAAGTATTTTGTTACATGATATTTTTCTTTTCCTCAAAATAGGTCGATGTATTGCCAAAAACTTGTTATGCAATGGAGAAAATGACTGCAGAGATAACTCAGATGAAAAGGATTGTGACAGACAGAAAAGAGTGTGTAATAGAGTGTACCATCCTATCCCAAGTGTGCAGTTAATGGGAAATGGGTATGTAACTTAATAATTTTACCATTTTTATGGAGAGGGAATCACAGAAGTATGGAGCTAGAAGTAGAAAATAAAGGAATTCCATGAAGGCATTTGTTGAAATATCCCCCCCTTAATTCCCACCAACTCCCTTTACATTATCCTTTGCCACCCCTGACCACAACATTTCAGTGGTTATAGAATGCTAGAGACATTAATGCTGGATGATCCCTCAGTCCAACTCCCTTATGTTTTGTTTTGTTTTTTTGGCAAGGCAATTGGGGTTAAGTGACTTGCCCAGGGTCACATAGCTAGTAGGTGTCTGAGATTGGATTTAAACTCAGGTCCTCCTGACTCCAGGGCCCAGGTTCTATGTACTGCGCCACCTAGCTGCCCCATCCCCCTCATTTCATGAGGAGCATATAAGCACCATCAGTAGTGACTGGGCCCTCAGCCCAGACACAGTGAGATGGAGTGTCTGGAGGCGAGGAAATCCTGACATAGCACATAGGCCTTAATGATGTCATTACAGGATTTGCTATTGTGGAGGACAGCAGCAGCCATGCAGCTGACTCTAAGTATATTCAGCTGTGCCAATGTTGTCAAAAACGCAGTCAGAAACAGAATCTTAGGATCTTAAGGCAGGAAGAGGCCTTATAGATTTTTGAATCCGACTATCCCCATTTATAGGTGAAGAAACTAAGACCTATAGAGGTGAGGGAGGGGGGATGTTTTGACTTAGTCCAGAGGATGTGATAGCCAGCTTCGAATACTTGAAGAAGAAGGATTAGAAGTGCTCCATTTAACCCCAAAGGGCAGAACTAGGAGAAACAGATAGTAATTACAGAAGTAAACTTATGTGGGTATAATTTCAAGGTTGTGCTGGAGCCAGCTCCCGAGGGCTTGTAAGTCCATTGTTAAATATTCACTGTAATCATTTATACCTTGGAAATGTATTGGTTAGTTGATTGTCTAGATTTAAGAAAGAGATGGAAAAAAAGCTAATCATATAAATTTGAAAGTATATCAAGGGTTTGGAGAGTTGGTTGTTAAACATTTACCAGCATTTTCCTGGATGTAAAAGAAGACTTTTTAATGATCTTAGCTTTCCAAAAGTGGAATGGGCTGCCTTGAGCAATAGTGGGTTCATCATTATTTAAGGTCTGTGAGCAGATAATGTGTGTACATTTGAACATATTTTGTCTCCAACATGGCTCACACCAAAGGACTGCCAAGGTACTTTCTAACTAAGATTTTCTAAGGTGACTTGTCCAAGGTCACACAGTGGGTTGGTCTAGAAACTTGGACAAGAGCCCTGGACTCCTCACTTGTGGTACAGAACTCTTGAGAAATAATTGGGAAGAGAAGAAATAAGGGTTATCTAGAATAAGTAAAAGAATGATGATGGAATGATCAAGTCAAAGGAAGATGCCTTCATGGACTTCCTTTAATAGGACAATATCAATAAAGCCCCTTTACCTCTTTAGCTACTGGCCAAATGGCCAGCAGTTCACTGCTTCCTTAGATTGGGGCACATTAGGGTGTAGGGAGTTTTTAACTTCCAGAAATAAATAGGACAAAAATCTTAATGCCAAGAGGGAAAAGAGAAACAAATGATGGTTAGGGTTAGGGTTAGAGTTGAAATGATTATCTAGCAATGGTGCACCAGACCTAAGCAGAGTATGGATCTGTCCTAAAGACTCTTGCCATTCATAAGATGACAGGTCCAGGAGCTACCCCGTCCTTTCAACACTGACCTGGAGGGTTTTGTTTGAGGATCATCTGACAGGAATTTCTTTGCTCTAGAACTGCACTTACTGCCCATCCCATTCAGCTATAACATGTTACCATGTCTAGGTTCGTAGCTCTAGGCCAGAAGGGACCTCAGGAGTAAGTAAGTTCAACTGGGCAATTTTACGGAAGAGGAAACTCAGGGCCAAGGAGATTAAATGCCTTGCCCAAATTCACAAAGATAGAAAGCATCAGAGACAGAATTAGACCCCAGGTCTAGAGCCTGTGTTCTTTCCACTATACCCTCTTGTCTGTCTGCCTTATAGTTTTCAAAATGTGATAATTATATATGTATATTAACATAATAATATATCATATGTATAATTATTTCACATTATCTTCACAGCACCTCTACAAAATTAAAGATGTATATTATCATTCCCATTTTACAAGTAAGGAAATTGAGGTCAAATAAGCTTAGCAACTTAACCACAGAAGCACAGCTTCTAAATGGCAGAGCTTGAAATGTAACTCAGTTCTTCAGACTTTTAGCCCAGGACTTTTTTCAACTATACCATTTGCTTTGTTAGTTCATCCATCTCTGCACTCACCAAAGGAATGAACAGAATCAGTGTTTATTTAGAGTTTGCTGTGTGTTAGGCACTGTGCTAAATGCTTTATAATTATTTCCTGATTTGATCCTCATAACAACCCTGGTTAGTAGGTGCTGTTATGATACTCATTTTAAATTTGAGGAAATTGAGGCAGACAAAGATTAAGTGACTTATCTAGGGTCACACAGCTAGCAAGTATCTGAGGCTGAATTTGAACTCAGGTCCTCTTGACTCAAAGTTTAGGTCTCCATGCACTGCATCACTAGCTACATCTCAAAATCCAAGAAAAGAGTCACAATGTCTATACACAAATACCCAAAGTTTAGCAGCAAACATGAAGCACTAGAGGTACTAATCTGTAAGAAAGCAAATTTGGCCTCAAAGACACTATTAAGACTTTGTGGGCTGTAACCCATGACTGAACCATGAGCGTGGATGGGTATACCTTATTGAAAAAGGATGCATGGAGGTTATGGGGCATTGTATTATAGTGCCGTATTATTATGATAATAGTTAACATTTATATAGCACTTTAAGGTTTGAAAATTGCTTCACATTCATTATCTCACTTGATCCTTTCAGTAATCCTGTGGAGGTAGGTGCTATAATTTTCCCCATTATATGGATAACAAAACTAGGGCTGAGAGAGGTTAAAAGACATGTCCAAAATCATACAGATAATGTGTCTGAAGCAAGATTTTAACTCAGCTATTCCCCGACTGTAATTCTAGTTTTATATTCACTATTCTGCCCGGCAGACTCTAATGCATATTCATGCGAGAAAATCTAGGAACAAGAGGAGGAAAGCATAATAAAAAATATTTAGGTTAAGATCAATAAAGAGAAACAGCAGTTATTTTGTCACTGGAGCATATCACAGATCATCTCTTCAGAAGGAATAAACAGAGGAAGAGTTTGGGGGAATAGATCACAAGTGAGGTATAGAGACATAATATAAGAGTGATGGGGGACTTCGGTTTATAAAGACATCTAACTGGAGCTCTTTTTCTGACAAAAGCAGAACTTCTAATAACTTCTTGATTTGCTTTAGTAATAATTTCATCCTTAAAAAAGCAGAGGAATGAATAAAAGGACATTGTATTTGGGATCTGATTCTCCCTTATAGGGAGGAATTGGTTGCTGGGGTGAAAATCATGGGAACTATTGGTGAGGGGGCAACCAACTCCCTCCTAGAGTTTATGATAAAGAAAGAGGTGAAATGCACACGTTGTTTGACATCTACCAGAGATTTTTTGGAAATTCAATTTCAAAAAAATTAGAGGAAAAATAGGTGACAATAGTCAGTGACCACTGACTAAATCTGCAGGGGAAATTAGCCCAGACAAGATAGGAAATGACCTACAGAATAAAAATCTGAAATCAGAAAGGGAAACAATTCTAATGAGAAGGGGAAAAACTGCAATTTATCTGAAGAGTTTAATGTGGATGCACAGGGAACTCTCTGGCTAATTTAGTTGTTTTTTTTTGAGAAGTTTACAAAAGATGGAAGAAAGGCCACCATCCTATAAAAAGAGTATCAGGAACACTAACGCTCATGCTGGGCTGAGGAGGTTGAGGGATGATAAGGGGGAAAAAAGGGATTTGTTTAAGTTCTGTTGGAAGAAAAAGGAAGCTCAGAGAAAGAATAGGAGCTTTGCTTAGGGTGAATAGGATGCTGATTGACAACAGAGAGACAGCAGAGGTACTCAATTATGATTTTACTTCATTTCTCTGTCAAGGAGAATGACCTTTGTACTAGATAGGACAGAACAAAAATGACTAAAAGGGCATTCATATCCAAGATATTAAGAGAGCACTTGGATGCCCTTGATAAATTTAAATCACTTATTCCTGATGAACTACATTCTTGGGAACTGACAGATGTGATTGTTGAGTTACTATTAGTGATATACGAAGGACTATGGAAAACGGAAGACGTATCAGAAAATTGAAGAAAGGTAAATATTGTCCTGATTTTCAAAAAAAAATAAAAAAGGGAAGAGAATAAAGTCTACATCCTACAGGCCAGTAAGCTTAACTTTAATCCTAGAATAGATCATTAAGGAGAAAATTGACTAATATCTATAAAGGGAAGATGTAGTTACAGAGTCAGCATGATTTCATCAAGAAAAGGTCATGCCAGAATAACCTTACTTCCTATTTTGACAGGGCTATTAATGGGTAGATGAGGAAAACTATAGCCATGGCTACGGTTTACCTAGCTTTTAGCAAAGGGTTTGATAAAATATTTCATGCTATTTTTTTTAAAGATAAAGAGATATATATTAGATAATAATACAGTTAGATGAATTCAAAATTGGTTTGATGGCTAAACTCTGAGTAGTTATTAAAAGTTCAATGTCAATGTGGAAGGTCTCCAGTGAAGCACTCAGGGATCTGTGCTTGGCCCTGTGTGGTTTACCATTTTTTATCAATAGCTTGGATAAAGGCATAGGGTGCATGCTTGCCAAATTTTCACATGACACAAAGCTGAGAGAGATGGCTAATATACTGGATCCAAAAGGATCTTTTTAGTACGTAGCATTTAGCTGAATCTGATAAGATGAAATTCAGAGGGATAAATGCAAAGTCTATACTTGCCCGCAAAACCAACTTCATAAAGATAAGATGGAGGAGGGATGGTTAAATGGCAGTTTATCTGAAAAAAAAAAAAAG